AGCGGGAATCGAACTCGGGTTCGCCGAGGTTCGTAGCGGTCAGCGTAGCGCTAACCACTACACCCACCGCTCCAAACGAACGAACGCGTGCTCGCTGTGTGTGTGTGTGTGTGCGCGTTATTTACCGCTACACGAAATGCGAGCGTGTGGTAATAAAGGCGTGAATCCGCGTCTGTGTTTAGTATTATTTACGTGTCCTCCGTTCGTGCGTGCGTGCGATAATGCCCGCACGCACGCACGCACCTAAATAACACATCACTCGTGCGTGCGGTGAAAGATTTGTGTGTGTGTGTCTGTGTGTGTATCTGTGTGTGTCTGTGTGTGTGTGTATCTGTGTGTGTATCTGTGTGTGTGTCTGTGTGTGTATCTGTGTGTGTATCTGTGTGTGTATCTGTGTGTCTGTGTGTGTGTGTATCTGTGTGTGTATCTGTGTCTGTGTGTGTATCTGCGTGTGTCTGTGTCTCTGTGTGTCTGTGTATCTGTGTGTGTGTGTCTGTGTGTGTATCTGTGTCTGTATCTGTGTGTGTGTGTGTTTGTGTGTGTGTCTGTGTGTGTATCTGTGTGTGTCTATGTGTATCTGTGTGTCTGTATGTCTGTATGTCTGTGTGTATCTGTGTATCTGCGTGTATCTGCGTGTATCTGCGTGTGTCTGACTGTGTGTGTCTGCGTGTGTCTGTGTGTGTATGTGTCTCTGTGTGTGTGTCTGTGTGTGTCTGCGTGTATCTGTGTGTGTATCTGTGTGTGTCTATGTGTATCTGTGTATCTGTGTGTGTCTGTATCTGTCTGTGTCTGTATGTATCTGTGTATCTGCGTGTATCTGTGTGTGTGTTTGTGTGTGTGTCTGTATGTGTATCTGTGTGTGTGTCTGTGTGTGTCTGCGTGTATCTGCGTGTATCTGCGTGTGTCTGTGTGTGTGTATCTGTGTGTGTCTGTGTGTGTGTGCGTGTATCTGTGTGTGTCTGTGTTTATCTGTGTGTGTGTGTATCTGTGTGTGTATGTGTGTGTCTGTGTGTGTGTATCTATGTGTGTCTGTATGTGTGTGTCTGTGTGTATCTGTGTGTGTATCTGTGTGTGTCTGTGTGCGTGTATCTGTGTGTGTCTGTGTGTATCTGTGTGTGCCTGCTGTTACCCCGTGGGTGGACTAATCTCCATCTGTTCCATCTCACTCCACCTTCTACCCTATGTGTGGACTAATCTCCATCTGTTCAATCTCACTCCCTTCTAACACCGTGTGTGGACTAATCTCCATCTGTTCCATCTCACTCCCTTCTACACCGTGAGTGGACTAATCTCCATCTGTTCCATCTCGCTCCCTTCTACACCGTGAGTGGACTAATCTCCATCTGTTCCATCCCGCTCCCTTCTACACCGTGGGTGGACTAATCTCCATCTGTTCCATCTCACTCCCCTTCTACCCCGTGGGTGGACTAATCTCCATCTGTTCCATCTCACTCCCTTCTACCCCCGTGGGTGGACTAATCTCCATCTGTTCCATCTCGCTCCACCTTCTACCCCGTGGGTGGACTAATCTCCATCTGTTCCATCTCGCTCCACCTTCTACCCCCGTGTGTGGACTAATCTCCATCTGTTTCATCTTAGTCCCTTCTACACCCGTGTGTGGACTAATCTCCATCTGTTCCATCTCACTCCACCTTCTACACCGTGTGTGGACTAATCTCCATCTGTTTCATCTTAGTCCCTTCTACACCCGTGTGTGGACTAATCTCCATCTGTTCCATCTCACTCCACCTTCTACACCGTGTGTGGACTAATCTCCATCTGTTCCATCTCACTTCACCTTCTACACCATGTGTGGACTAATCTCCATCTGTTCCATCTCACTCCCTTCTACCCCCGTGGGTGGACTAATCTCCATCTGTTCCATCTCACTCCCTTCTACACCCGTGGGTGGACTAATCTCCATCTGTTCCATCTCACTCCCTTCTACCCCCGTGGGTGGACTAATCTCCATCTGTTCCATCTCAATCCACCTTCTACACCATGTGTGGACTAATCTCCATCTGTTCCATCTCAATCCACCTTCTACCCCGTGTGTGGACTAATCTCCATCTGTTCAATCTCACTCCCTTCTAACACCGTGTGTGGACTAATCTCCATCTGTTCCATCTCGCTCCCTTCTACACCCGTGAGTGGACTAATCTCCATCTGTTCCATCTCACTCCCTTCTACACCCGTGGGTGGACTAATCTCCATCTGTTCCATCACTCCACCTTCTACCCCGTGGGTGGACTAATCTCCATCTGTTCCATCTCACTCCACCTTCTACATAGTGAGTGGACTAATCTCCATCTGTTCCATCTCACTCCCTTCTACCCCGTGTGTGGACTAATCTCCATCTGTTCCATCTCACTCCAGCTTCTACACCGTGTGTGGACTAATCTCCATCTGTTCCATCTCACTCCCTTCTACACCGTGTGTGGACTAATCTCCATCTGTTCCATCTCACTCCACCTTCTACCCCGTGTGTGGACTAATCTCCATCTGTTCCATCTCACTCCCTTCTACACCCGTGGGTGGACTAATCTCCATCTGTTCCATCTCACTCCCTTCTACACCGTGTGTGGACTAATCTCCATCTGTTCCATCTCACTCCACCTTCTACACCGTGTGTGGACTAATCTCCATCTGTTCCATCTCACTCCCTTCTACACCCGTGGGTGGACTAATCTCCATCTGTTCCATCTCACTCCCTTCTACACCGTGTGTGGACTAATCTCCATCTGTTCAATCTCACTCCCTTCTACCCCCGTGGGTGGACTAATCTCCATCCGTTCCATCTCACTCCCTTCTACTCATGGGTGGGTGTCAAGGAACAGTACCCCCTGGATCTGCCAGGGTAGAAGGCGATTACACAGCAGTCTGTGGACTAATCCCCATCCGTCACACCTATGAGGGGATATAGCGTTTCCCCCTCTCACATAAAATCATAGAGACACAGAGATTCACTCATAGAGACCCACAGAGACTCATAGAGACCCACATAGACTCATAGAGACCCACAGAGACCCACATAGACTCATAAAGACCCACAGAGACTCGTAGAGACCCACAGAGACCCACAGAGACTCATAAAGACCCACAGACTATGTCATAGAGACCCACAGAGACCCACAGAGACTCATAGAGACCCACAGAGACTCAAAGACCCAGAGACCCACAGAGACTCGTAGAGACCCACAGAGACCCACAGAGACCTACATAGACTCATAAAGACCCACAGAGACCCACAGAGACTCATAGAGACCCACATAGACTCATAGAGACCCACAGAGACTCATAGAGACCCACATAGACTCATAGAGACCCACAGAGACTCATAGAGACCCACAGAGACTCATAAAGACCCACAGAGGCCCACAGAGACTCATAGAAACCCACAGAGACTCATAGAGACCCACAGAGCCTCAGAGACCCACATAGACTCACAAAGACCCCACAGAGACCCACAGAGACCCACAGAGACCCACATAGACCCACATAGACTCATAGAGACCCACAGACTCATAGAGACCCACAGAGACTCATAAAGACCAACAGAGACTCATAGAAAACCACAGAGACTCATAGAGACCCACAGAGACTCATAGAGACCCACAGAGACTCATAGAGACCCACAGAGACTCATAAAGACCAACAGAGACTCATAGAAACCCACAGAGACTCAGAGACCCACAGAGACTCATAGAGACCCACAGAGACTCATAGAGACCCACAGAGACTCATAAAGACCAACAGAGACTCATAGAAACCCACAGAGACTCAGAGACCCACATAGACTCACAAAGACCCCACAGACCCACGTAGACTCATAGAAACCCACAGACACCCACATAGACTCACAAAGACCTACAGAGACTCAGAGACCCACATAGACTCATAAAGACCCACAGAGACCCACAGAGACCCACAATGACTGTGACACAGCGACCGTGACACAATGAGCGTGTGACAGTGAGAGTGGGTGGGTGGTGGGGGGGGTGACACCCACTGTGCGATCTTCTTCTTGAGGGACGCCCAGTCACAAAGGTCAGTGGGGGTCACGTCCCACATGTCGTACTGCAGGATCTGCACACACACACAGACACACACACAGACACAGTCACACAAACAGTCACACAAACAGAGTCACACAGACACACACACACAGTCACACACACAGAGTCACACACACAGACACACACACAGAGTCACACATACACACACAGACACACACACAGAGTCACACATACACACACAGACACACACACAGACACACACACAGACACACACAGACACACACACACACAGACACAGAGTCACACACAGACACACACAGACAGAGTCACACACACAGACACACACAGATACACACACACAGAGTTACACATACACACACAGACACACACACACAGAGTCACACACACACACAGGCAGTCACACACACACACAGAGTCACACACACACAAACACACACACAGACAACAACAACAACCGCCATTCGCCACTAAGTGGCGGTGACGTCACCACGACGCTTGTGCCAGGCTATGTGCACCCTGAGGCCACACAGACACACACAGAGTCACACACACACAGAGTCACACACACACAGACACACACAAACAGAGTCACACACACAGAGTCACACACACACACAGAGTCACACACACACAGAGTCACACATACACACACACACAGTCACACACAAACAGAGTCACACACACAGAGTCACACACACACACAGAGTCACACATACACACACACACAGTCACACACACACAGTCACACACACAGACACACACACAGAGTCACACACACAGACACACACACACCGAGTCACTCACACACACAGACACACACACAGACACACACACAGAGTCACAAACACACACACACACAGACACACACAGACACACAGTCACACACACACACAGAGTCACACACACAGAGTCACACACACACAGACACACACACAGTCACACACACACACAGACAGAGGGTGACCCCAACCACGTGGCCTTTAGCAGGCAACATGGGCAAGTGCTGCACACAGCACCAACGCCACTCAGAGACACAGACAAAGGTCCCCCGTGTAGCCTCTAGCAGGCTGTAGGGGCAAGTGCTGTCAGTAGCGAGTAGTAGCAGCAGTGTCTATGAAGGTAGACACAGACAAAGGTGCCCCGTGTAGCCTCTAGCAGGCTGTAGGGGCAAGTGCTGTCAGTAGCGAGTAGTAGCAGCAGTGTCTATGAAGGTAGACACAAAGGTCCCCCGTGTAGCCTCTAGCAGGCTGTAGGGGCAAGTGCTGTCAGTAGCGAGTAGTAGCAGCAGTGTCTATGAAGGTAGACACAGACAAAGGTGCCCCGTGTAGCCTCTAGCAGGCTGTAGGAGCAAGTGCTGTCAGTAGCGAGTAGTAGCAGCAGTGTCTATGAAGGTAGACACAGACAAAGGTCCCCCGTGTAGCCTCTAGCAGGCTGTAGGGGCAAGTGCTGTTGGTAGCGAGTAGCAGCAGCAGCGCCTATGAAGGTAGACACAGACAAAGGTCCCCCGCGTAGCCTCTAGCAGGCTGTAGGGGCAAGTGGTGTTAGTAGCGAGTAGCAGCAGCAACGCCTATGAAGGTAGACACAGACAAAGGTCCCCCGTGTAGCCTCTAGCAGGCTGTAGGGGCAAGTGGTGTTAGTAGCGAGTCGTCTATAAACTATTTTTTTATTTTAGCAGGTGTAAGACCACACGAAGCTGCTGTGTAGCTCTTTCAATAGCGCCCACCCACCTAACCACCCACCCAACCACCCACCAACCCAACCACCCACCAACCCAACCACCCACCCACCAACCCAACCACCCACCAACCCACCAACCCACCCAACCACCCACCCACCAACCCAACCACCCACCCACCTACCCAACCACCCACCCACCAACCCAACCACCCACCCCCCAAGCCAACCACCCACCAACCAACCCAACCACCCACCCACCTACCCAACCACCCACCCACCAACCCACCCACCCACCCACCAACCCAACCACCCACCCACCAACCCAACCACCAACCCACCAACCCAACCACCCCCAACCCAACCACCCCCAACCCAACCACCCAACCATCCACCAACCACCCACCAACCAACCCAACCACCCACCAACCACCCACCAACCCATCCACCCACCAACCCAACCACCCACCCACCAACCCAACTACCCATCAACCACCCACCCACCAACCCAACTACCCACCAACCACCCCACCACCCACCTACCCAACCACCCACCCACCAACCACCCACCCAACCACCAACCCAACTACCCACCAACCACCCACCCACCAACCCAACCACCCACCCACCAACCCAACTACCCACCAACCACCCCAACTACCCAACCACCCAACCACCCACCCACCAACCCAACCACCCACCCACCAACTCAACTACCCACCAACCACCCACCCACCCGCCCAACCACCCATCCACCAACCCAACTACCCACCAACCACCCACCCACCAACCCAACCACCCACCCACCAACCCAACTACCCACCAACCACCCCACCCAACCCAACCACCCACCCACCCAACCACCCACCCACCAACCCAACTACCCACCAACCACCCACCACCCACCTACCCAACCACCCACCCACCAACCCAACTACCCACCAACCACCCCAACTACCCAACCACCCACCTACCCACCCAACCACCCACCAACCCAACTACCCACCCACCAACCCAACTACCCACCCACCAACCCAACTACCCACCCACCAACCCAACCACCCACCCACCCACCATCCACCCACCCGCCCAACCACCCATTCACCAACCCAACCACCCACCCACCCACCAACCCAACCACCCACCCACCAACCCAACTACCCACCAACCACCCCACCCACCCAACTACCCACCAACCACCCACCCACCAACCCAACCACCCACCCACCAACCCAACTACCCACCACCACCCCAACTACCCAACCACCCACCTACCCAACCACCCACCCACCCAACCACCCACCAACCCACCCACCCACCAACCCAACTACCCACCAACCACCCACCCACCCGCCCAACCACCCATCCACCAACCCAACTACCCACCAACCACCCACCCACCAACCCAACCACCCACCCACCAACCCAACTACCCACCAACCACCCCACCCACCCACCAACCCAACTACCCACCAACCACCCCACCACCCACCTACCCAACCACCCACCCACCAACCCAACTAACCACCAACCACCCACCCACCCACCCATCCACCAACCCAACTACCCACCAACCAACCCAACCACCCACCCACCAACCCAACTACCCACCAACCACCCCAACTACCCAACCACCCACCTACCCACCCAACCACCCATCCAACCACCCACCCACCAACCCAACTACCCACCCACCAACCCAACTACCCACCCACCACCCACCCACCCGCCCAACCACCCATCCACCAACGCAACCACCCACCCACCAACCCAACCACCCACCACCAACCCAACTACCCACCAACCACCCCAACTACCCACCCATCCAACCCACTCAACCACCCCCCAAACCCATCCACCCAACCACCCACCAACCCAACCACCCACCCACCAACCCAACTACTCACCCAACCACCCATCCACCCACCCAACCACCCACCCCACCCTCACCCTCACCCACCCCACCAGCTCACCCCCTGGCTGACGGGCGAGCCTGCGTAGGTGTCGTAGGGGCCCAGGAGGCGCGCCAGCTCACAGCTGGCGCCCAGCGCTGCGTGGTAGACCAGCCACCCAACCAACCCACTCACCCAACCAACCCACCCACTCACTCACCCAACCAGCCACCCACTCAACCACCCACCTAAACACCCACCAACCACCTACCCCACCCACTCACCCAACCAGCCACCCACCCAACCACCAACCCAACCACCCACTCACCCAACCACCCATCCACCACCCCAACTACCCACCCACCCTCACCCTCCCCCAGCAGCTCACCCCCTGGCTGACGGGCGAGCCTGCGTAGGTGTCGTAGGGGCCCAGGAGACGTGGTAGACCACCCACCCAACCAGCCACCCACTCACCAAACCAGCCACCCAACCAACCCACCCACTCACTCACCCAACCAGCCACCCACCCAACCACCCACCCACTCACCCAACCAACCACCCATCCACCAACCCAACTACTCACCCAACCACCCATCCAACACCCCAACTACCCACCCCACCCCACCCTCCCCCACCACCTCACCCCCTGGCTGACGGGCGAGCCTGCGTAGGTGTCGTAGGGGCCCAGGAGGCGCGCCAGCTCACAGCTGGCGCCCAGCGCTGCGTGGTAGACCAGCCACCCACCCAACCCACCCACTCACCCAACCAGCCACCCACCCAACTACCCACCCAACCACCCAACCACCCACCAAGCACCCACCCAACCCACCCACTCACCCAACCAGCCACCCAACCACCCACCCAACCACCCACCAACCACCCACTCACCCAACCACCCACCAACCACCCACCCTCACCCCACCCCACCAGCTCACCCCCTGGCTGACGGGCGAGCCTGTGTAGGTGTCGTAGGGGCCCAGGAGGCGCGCCAGCTCACAGCTGGCGCCCAGCGCTGCGTGGTAGACCACCCACCCACCCAACCAACCCACTCACCCAACCAGCCACCCACCCAACCACCCACCCACCAACCCAACCACCCATCCACCAACCCAACTACCCACCAACCACCCATCCACCAACCCAACTACTCACCCAACCACCCATCCACCAACCCAACTACTCACCCAACCACCCATCCACCAACCCAACTACTCACCCACCCACCCAACCACCCAACCACCAACCCACCCACCTCACCCTCACCCACCACCTCACCCCCTGGCTGACGGGCGAGCCTGCGTAGGTGTCGTAGGGGCCCAGGAGGCGCGCCAGCTCACAGCTGGCGCCCAGCGCTGCGTGGTAGACCAGCCACCCAACCACCCAACTACCCACCCAACCACCCAACCACCCACCAACCAGTCACCCAACCACCCAACCCACTCACCCAACCACCCATCCAACCACCCAACCACCCACCCCACCCTCACCCTCCCCCAGCAGCTCACCCCCTGGCTGACGGGCGAGCCTGCGTAGGTGTCGTAGGGGCCCAGGAGGCGCGCCAGCTCACAGCTGGCGCCCAGCGCGGCGTGGTAGACCAGCCACCCACCCAACCAGCCACCCACCCAACCACCCATCCACCAACCCAACTACCCACCAACCACCCATCCACCAACCCAACTACCCACCAACCACCCATCCACCAACCCAACTACCCACCAACCACCCATCCACCAACCCAACTACTCACCCAACCACCCATCCACCACCCCAACTACCCACCCACCCTCACCCTCCCCCAGCAGCTCACCCCCTGGCTGACGGGCGAGCCTGCGTAGGTGTCGTAGGGGCCCAGGAGGCGCGCCAGCTCACAGCTGGCGCCCAGCGCTGCGTGGTAGACCAGCCACCCAACCACCCAACCACCCACCCAACCAGCCACCCACCCAACTACCCACCCAACCACCCACCAACCACCCACCCAACCCACCCACTCACCAAACCAGCCACCCACCCAACTACCCACCCAACCACCCAACCACCCACCAACCAGTCACCCAACCAACCCACCCACTCACTCACCCACCCATCCAACCACCCAACCACCAACCCACCCACCTCACCCACCCCAGCAGCTCACCCCCTGGCTGACGGGCGAGCCTGCGTAGGTGTCGTAGGGGCCCAGGAGGCGCGCCAGCTCACAGCTGGCGCCCAGCGCTGCGTGGTAGACCAGCCACCCAACCACCCCACTCACTCACCCAACCAGCCACCAGCCACCCACCCAACCGCCCACTCACCCAACCAGCCACCCACCCAAACACCCACCCAACCACCCACTCACCCACCCAACCACCCACCCAACCACCCACCCAACCACCCACTCACCCAACCAGCCACCCACCCAAACACCCACCCAACCACCCACCCAACTACCCACCTAACCACCCAACCACCCACCCAACCAACCCACCCACTCACCCAACCAGCCACCAACCACCCACCAACCACCCACCCACCAACCCAACCACCCATCCACCAACCCAACTACCCACCAACCACCCATCCACCACCCCAACTACTCACCCAACCACCCATCCACCACCCCAACTACTCACCCCACCCTCACCCTCACCCCACCCCAGCAGCTCACCCCCTGGCTGACGGGCGAGCCTGCGTAGGTGTCGTAGGGGCCCAGGAGGCGCGCCAGCTCACAGCTGGCGCCCAGCGCTGCGTGGTAGACCAGCCACCCAACCAACCCACCCACCCACTCACCCAACCAGCCACCCACTCAACCACCCACCTAAACACCCACCAACCACCCACCCACCCACTCACCCAACCACCCACCCACCCAACCACCCACCCACCCAACCACCCACCCAACTACCCACCCAGCCCACCCTCACCCCACCCCAGCAGCTCACCCCCTGGCTGACGGGCGAGCCTGCGTAGGTGTCGTAGGGGCCCAGGAGGCGCGCCAGCTCACAGCTGGCGCCCAGCGCTGCGTGGTAGACCAGCCACCCACCCAACCCACTCACCCAACCAACCCACCCACCCACTCACCCAACCACCCAACTACTCACCCAACCACCCATCCACCAACCCAACTACCCACCCAACCACCCATCCACCAACCCAACTACTCACCCAACCACCCATCTACCAACCCAACTACTCACCCAACCACCCATCCACCAACCCAACTACTCACCCACCCAACCACCCATCCACCAACCCAACTACCCACCCAGCCCACCCTCACCCTCACCCACCACCTCACCCCCTGGCTGACGGGCGAGCCTGCGTAGGTGTCGTAGGGGCCCAGGAGGCGCGCCAGCTCACAGCTGGCGCCCAGCGCTGCGTGGTAGACCAGCCACCCAACCCACTCACTCACCAAACCAGCCACCCACCCAACTACCCACCCAACTACCCACCCAACCAACCACCCACTCAACCACCCACCTAACCACCCACCCACCCAACCACCCAACCCACTCACCCAACCACCCAACCACCAACCCACCCACCTCACCCTCACCCACCACCTCACCCCCTGGCTGACGGGCGAGCCTGCGTAGGTGTCGTAGGGGCCCAGGAGGCGCGCCAGCTCACAGCTGGCGCCCAGCGCTGCGTGGTAGACCAGCCACCCACCCAACCCACTCACCCAACCAACCCACCCACTCACCCAACCACCCAACTACCCACCCAACCACCCATCCACCAACCCAACTACCCACCCAACCACCCATCTACCAACCCAACTACTCACCCAACCACCCATCCACCAACCCAACTACTCACCCAACCACCCATCCACCACCCCAACTACTCACCCCACCCTCACCCTCCCCCACCAGCTCACCCCCTGGCTGACGGGCGAGCCTGCGTAGGTGTCGTAGGGGCCCAGGAGGCGCGCCAGCTCACAGCTGGCGCCCAGCGCTGCGTGGTAGACCAGCCACCCAACCCACCCACTCACTCACCCAACCACCCACCAGCCACCCACCCAACCCACCCACTCACCCAACCAGCCACCCACCCAACCACCCAACCACCCCACCAACCACCCACCCAACCCACCCACTCACCCAACCAGCCACCCACCAACCACCCACTCACCCAACCACCCACCTAACCACCCACCTCACCCTCCCCCACCAGCTCACCCCCTGGCTGACGGGCGAGCCTGCGTAGGTGTCGTAGGGGCCCAGGAGGCGCGCCAGCTCACAGCTGGCGCCCAGCGCTGCGTGGTAGACCACCCACCCACCCAACCCACTCACCCAACCACCCACCAGCCACCCACCCAACCACCCAACCACCCAACCACTCACCCAACCAGCCACCCACTCACCCAACCAGCCACCTAACCACCCACTCACCCAACCAGCCACCCAACCACCCACCAACCAGTCACCCAACCAACCCACCCACTCACTCACCCACCCATCCACCCACCCAACTACCCACCCAGCCCACCCTCACCCCGCCCAAGCAGCTCACCCCCTGGCTGACGGGCGAGCCTGCGTAGGTGTCGTAGGGGCCCAGGAGGCGCGCCAGCTCACAGCTGGCGCCCAGCGCTGCGTGGTAGACCAGCCACCCACCCAACCCACCCACTCACCCAACCAGCCACCCACCCAACTACCCACCCAACCACCCACCAACCACCCACCCAACCCACCCACTCACCAAACCAGCCACCCACCCAACTACCCACCCAACTACCCACCCAACCACCCACCAACCAGTCACCCAACCAACCCACCCACTCACTCACCCACCCATCCAACCACCAACCCAACAACCCACCCTCACCCACCACCTCACCCCCTGGCTGACGGGCGAGCCTGCGTAGGTGTCGTAGGGGCCCAGGAGGCGCGCCAGCTCACAGCTGGCGCCCAGCGCTGCG